CGATTGACATAACCCCCGCGCCCCTCGGACTCGTTGCGTTCACGCAGTAAGCTAAATAAATATAAACTTTCTTTTGAGACACCTTGTACTGTAGCGGTGTACAATAAAGGTGTACAAAGAAAAATTACGTTAGAAATCAGAGAGTATCAAACATTAAAATATGGTACTATAATATTGTATTGAATTAAGTTATTTGTACTTGTTTTACAAAATTTATTGAGGCGAAACCGGTCAGGTTTAATATAATAAATATTGTGGAACAGCACAAGTTCTACCGAGTAGCATCAGTAAACAGTACCATAAAATAAAAAAATATAATATTATATTCTTATACAATCAAGCAATCTGGTGCAATTAACTGTTACAAAAAAGGTAATTTCAACTAGCGCTTTAGCACTACTGAAAATATTTTAAATTCTTACTTCAAATATTGAAGACATTATCCTATTAGTTCTATTAAAATTTTATTATCTTCATCATCTAAGCCAAAAGACATCCACTGCTTCACTGCAAAGACATAGGCCTCCCTCTAAGTTGACCTCAAGAAATGGTTTCATTGGGCTTCCCGCGACCTTCACTAGGTCGTCAGACCACCTGGTGAGGGGCCTACCTACTAAGAAAACCAACAGCATTACAATTTGTTTAACAATATAAGGGTAAAGAAGTTGTATATAGCTAATAATAGGTTTCCCTAAATAACTTACATACATAAAGAAAATTGGTAAGCAGATCACGACTTACAACTAACAGTTACAATGTTTAAACATAAATACATGGTAGATAAATAATTATATTATTTTAAAAAATGGTACATTACTCGTATGTATGGTGAATTAATTTTAACTGAATAGGGCTTGTTTATTTGTTAAAACTTTTGTTATTTTTATTTTCTATCTTTCTATTATGTTTAAAATTGTGAAGTGCAGGAGCTCTATACCTCAATGTACGTTTGGCTGGGACCCCACGATACAGGCTTGCCTAGTATGTGGACCGCGTTAAATATTTTTCTGATAAGATCTAAGATCACTTATTATATGTCTTGTTAAGCACTCTTGTAATTTATTTTCTTTGTGTTCCTAAATAAATATTATTTCATTTTTTCATATGTGTTGAAGGTGTTTTTAGAGGAGAAGAAGATATCTATATACTCTAATATATAAAATTCTCGTGTCACGGTGTGCGTGGTTGAACTACTCCGAAACTACTCGACCGATTTTCATAACATTTTGCGTGCATATTGGGTAGGTCTGAGAATCGGCCAACATCTTTCATTCATACCCCTAGCTATTATTATTTTTTTGACAATTTTTTTTGAAAAAATGGATATGGCAAAACAACGTTTGCCGGGTCAGTTAGTTTTGCTATAAAATTATAGATAAATAATCTGGAATATTGTTACATTGAGAATTATAAATTAGAACAATATTACATTAAGAATTATAATTTAAACATTAGATCAGTTCGAAACCATTAATAGTTTTCATGTAATCTTATGTCTAGCGGTATCAATAGTATTACTTATGCTTAGCCAATCAGCGATTTCCTTACTGGGTCCAGCCATTTAACTGTTAACTGTACTACACTTAGTAAGCTTCTTCTTCAGTTCGAATATGACGTATTGTTTTGCTGTTTTGGTGATGGCTTGCGGAGGACTTAAGACGAAAAACAAAGTTTGAGTGTTGCTAACTCTAGTCCCTGTACATAATATTTCGTTTTTTTTTATGGTATAAGGGCGCAAACGAGCAGACCTGTCACCTGATGGTAAGCATCTACCGCCGCCCATGGACAGACACACACACACACACAAAAGCCACAAGTGCCTTGCTGCCCTTGGAGTCCCTTCTGCTCGAGTCAGCGGGAAGGGGGATTTGGGCCCCGGTAACCTCACTCATACAGTGAAAGTCAACGAAAGAATTGCTTAACACCGGTTTTCTGTGAGGCCGTGGTATCACTCCGGTCAAGCCGGCCTATTCGTGCCGAAGCATGGCTCTCTCACGATAAAAAATTAAATAAAAATAAAGATGTTATATATTCTAAAGTGTTATACCAACATTTATTTCAAAATTACAGAACAGCAGCTACCTATAACATAGTGATGTGAGCATAAGAGCAAGTTAAATCCATGATTTATTTAAGTTCACGGGTACCTAACAGCTACGACACGTAACGGTAAATTATCCCTTAAAGACTACTAATCTCGGGACACAAGTTGTACGGTTAAGGGGAGTATAATATGGGTAACCTTTTCTACGCAGCCCAAGAGGAAAATCTTTTATAGTGCTTCTCTAAATTGGTTTTGTGAAAACATGGTTTCGTGTTAACGCTTTATACGGATAGTTAACTAAATATTTAATATATTTAAAGGTTATATTGATGTTTATATCTTCTTAATTACCTACCAGTCTTACATTAGAGTTTAGTCACGAAATCTGTACTATCAAAGCAGAAGAATATATTTTTGTGGACGGCCTAATCCGTAACGAAGATATTTTTATAGCAAACAGTTGACACAGTGCAGTTCATAATTTAATTTAACTTACGAAACAGTGATTGTTTTTAATCATCTAGATAGACACAAAACTTACGAGTTTTTGATTTTACTATTACAGCATCGCGATATCAGAATTCATGCAGTTTGTGTTGAATAAATATAAATTTATACGGTAGACCATAAAGTTTTTGTGTCTTGACAACTTTTTAAATTTATGTCATATTGTCATCCCTTTCTATTGTTTTTCTTATAAAGAATAAAATCGTGTTCGTAACAAATTAAAGAATTCTTACTCGTTATTAGTAATTTTACCAAAATAACCAATAGGTTATGGGCCCAGGCACATGATAAGTAAATACTAATAATAGTTTCAACAAAAACTCGAGTAAAGAGCAAGATTACTACCGGTGAAAAATTTGCCCGTGGTATAATGGAGGTTACGAACGCGATGAAAATTGAGAAGTTTGATGGAAGAAATTTCAAACAATGGAAGTTTCAAGTCATATGTGCATTAAGAGCAAAGGGCTTAAACATAGAAAAGGCAAGACCCTTGGAAGCCAGTTCGTAAGTGCAGTGGGATAAAGATGATGGCATGGCCATGTTCATTTTAACATCGTCCATGGATCTTAACCAAATATCTCTTATAGAAAACTGCGAGACTGCTAAAGAAGTTATAACAAAGTTGGAAGCAATCTATGAACAGAAATCAGAATGTAACAAGATGTTAATTCATGAAAAGTTTTATCAATATTCATATAGTGCTAGTGATACGATGGCACAGCACGTGTCTAAGGTGGAAGGCTTGGCAAAGGAGCTACGGGAGACAGGTGAGAAGATCAGTGACACAGCAGTAATCACAAAGATTTTAAGCACATTACCATCAACATACCGTTCGCTTAGACAAGCATGGTTGTCACTCGATGAAGATAATCAAACAATTCAAGACCTTACTTCTCGCTTAGTAGATGAAGAAGCTAGCCTTGCCAACGACACAAGTAGTAATGAGACTGCATTAGTGACGTCAAAACCAAGTTTTATGAAGAAACAGTTTACTTCAAACGGTCAAAGAAATTCAAGTCACAGATTTGTATGCTACAATTGCAATAAAAGAGGTCATTTTGCTAAAGATTGTAGGATGCCAAAGAAAAGATACAATGATAAGAAACCTAATAATATGTTGGCATTCAGCGCTGAAGGTTGCTCATCTAAACATGATGAAGAGGCATGGATACTTGACAGTGGAGCCTCAATGCACATGACTTTCAAGCGTGACTACTTCTGTGAGTTGAAAGAGTCTCAATACAATAATTCTGTTAAGTTGGGTAACAAACAGAGTATCAAAGTATGTGGTGAAGGAACTATACTGATAGATAAGCAAGTTAATGGTACATGGGAGAGATGCACACTTGAACATGTGTTATATGTACCTGATTTAAGGAGAAATCTGTTTTCTGAAGGCGCTGCCACTAGAAGAGGATATGTAATAGTAAAGGATAATGAAAAAGCAATGATTATGAAGAATAGTGTGGTTGTTATGTGTGCACAATTGACAGAGAACAATTTATATGAATTGGATGTCAAAACAATCAAACAAGAAAATTGTAATATTGTGCAAACAGATATAAAAGTTTGGCATGAAAGATTAGGACATTTGAATGTCAAAGAACTTCAAAACATGAGTAAAAATGGTGTGATTCCAGTTACATTGACAGGAAATCAGAATTTTGTTTGTGAAGCGTGCCAATATGGGAAGCAAGCAAGACGCCCCTTTTTGAAATCTAACCGAGGTCCAACACAGCCTGGTGAGATTGTGTACAGTGATGTGTGTGGTCCTTTAGAAGAACCTTCTGTCTCTGGTGCGAAGTACTTTGTCTTATTCAAAGATGGAGCTACAAGCTATCGCCATGTTTACTTCATGAAACATAAGAGTGAAGTATTTCAATGTTTTCTGAAGTACAATGCAATTGTGAAGAATAAGTTTCAACGTGATTTGCAAATACTTCATACAGATAATGGTTGTGAATATGTAAATCAAGAATTCACAACATTTCTGGAGAATAAAGGAATAACGCATGAACGTACTGCTCCGTATACACCACAACAGAAAGGGAGAGCAGAGAGAGAGATGCGTTCTATCGTGGAAACTGCAAGGACAATGATACATGCAAAGGACCTTCCTTTATATTTGTGGGCAGAAGCTATCAACTGTGCAATATATTTGTTGAATAGAAATACATCAAGCCAAACAGGAGATGTTACACCATTTGAACTGTGGCATGGAGTAAAACCTAACTTACAACATATCAGAATATTTGGATCTATTGGTTATGAACATGTTCCAAAAGAAAAGCGAAGGAAGCTTGCCAAGAAAAGTGTAAAGATGTTATTAATTGGATATGACCATGATAACTACAGAATGTTTGATCAAAATACTAGAAAGGTAACTGTATCACGAGACGTGAAGTTTGATGAATGTAGTACATCTGAAGAAAACCAAAGTTTTGTAGAAATGAGAATTCAACAAGAAGAAAAAGAACATTCTACAATGCCAACACCACAGAGTGAGCTTCAATCTCAACATGATGTGCTTGAAGAAATGTCTTCAGATGATAGTATGAAGAGTTTAGAAGATTCAGATGAAAGTTATATTCCTCCAAAAGGTATACATTTGGAACAGGAACAACAGATAAATATCACCTTACGTCCTCATCGTCATAATAAGTTAGAAGCTAATTTCACAGAGTTGGAAATACCTAACACTTATGTAGAAGCAATGAATAGCCCAAATTCTCAACAATGGAAGAAAGCTGTGGTTGAAGAGCTTCAGTCACACGAAGAAAATCAAACTTGGGTATTGACTGATCGAACTGAGAAGAAGCCTGTGTCTTGTAAATGGGTATTCACCATAAAGAAAAATAAAGATGGAGCGATAGTACGATACAAAGCACGACTGTGTGCACGAGGATTCACACAAGTCAAGGGCTTAGACTATAACGAAACTTTTTCCCCCACTAGCAGGTACGACTCCATCGGGGTATTGCTGAGTATTGCTGCCAGAGATGACCTACAGATAGAGCAATTTGATGTCAAGACGGCTTTCTTGTACGGTGAGCTCTCTGAGGACATATACATGGAGGTGCCTGAGGGATTGAAAACTCAGTCTTCAAAAGTTTGTAAGTTAATTAAATCGATTTATAGTCTTAAACAATCTTCAAGCTGTTGGAATGAGAAATTTTGTACTTTCCTAACTACTTATGGTTTCAAACCCAGTCCATCTGATAATTGTGTGTTTGTGGGATATTTTAAAGGTTTCAAAGTAATATTAATTATTTATGTTGATGATGGATTGTTGTTGGCCAAAAGTAAAGTTGTTTTGTCTGATGTGTTAAATGATCTTAAAGAAAAGTTTGAAATTAAAATTATAAACTGTAATGCATTTATTTGTATGGAAATAAATAGAGAAAAGGATTATATAAGTATAAGTCAAAAACAGTATATTAAGACAATAATAAATAAATTTAATTTGTTAGATGCTAAAGGTAGTAGTACTCCTGCTGATGTTAATGTACAATTATCTAAGAATACCAGTAATGAGCCTAATAATTTCCCATATAGAGAAGCAGTGGGAGCATTGTTATTCTTGTCATCTGTATCTAGACCTGACATAGCTTATGCTGTGAATGTTGTTAGCAGATATGTGAATGATCCAGGTCCTTCACATGTTACAGCTGTAAAAAGAATTTTACGTTATTTAATTAATTCTAAAGATATGTCTATTGTTTATAAAGGTAATGTAGAATTAGTTGGCTATTCAGACTCAGACTTTGCAGGTGATTTGGACACTAGGAGATCTAATACAGGTTATATATTTTTAATGAATGGAGGTCCTGTCACTTGGTCTAGTCGTAAACAAAATACTGTGGCTTTATCCACAACTGAGTCTGAGTACATGGCTGCTAGTGAAGCCGCTAAAGAAATTCTATGGCTTAAACAATTTCTATGTGACATTGGGGAACCACAAAGCTCGGTTACTTTGAATGTTGATAACCAGAGTGCAATTAAATTAATTAACAACCCTGTGTTCCATAGAAGAAGTAAGCACATAGATATAAGATATAATTTTATCAGAGAGAATGTTGCTAAGAAAATTGTTGATATTAAATATGTTGAGAGTTCCAATCAGTTGACTGATTTCCTGACTAAAGCTTTGCCTGTGAATAAATTTAATTTAATTAGAGATAAGATGATGAGAAATATTTAAAGTACCTAAAGTTTTATGTTTTAATGAATTGAGTCATGTTTCATTTCAGAGATTGTTGTAAATTAAAGTAAGAGTAAAACAGTGTATAATGTTGAGATATGTGTACTATGTATTATGTTATAAAGATTTGAAGTTAATTGTTATGTCTACCTTATAAATTTAAGTGGGAGTGTTGAATAAATATAAATTTATACGGTAGACCATAAAGTTTTTAGTTTGTTTTTGTGTCTTGACAACTTTTTAAATTTATGTCATATTGTCATCCCTTTCTATTGTTTTTCTTATAAAGAATAAAATCGTGCTCGCAACAAATTAAAGAATTCTTACTCGTTATTAGTAATTTTACCAAAATAACCAATAGTTTGAAACTAAGATGGTTCTTTTGTTATCAGAAAACGTAGCACTTTTTTTCACAACTTATACAATTTCCTGAAAGGAAAATAAATTATTCCCAGGAAGCCGTACAAATCGGCTTTAGAGATTTAACATTAACGCTTAAAACGTTCTTTAATTCTGAAAAATGGTTTTAAAGTTTTCAATAAAAAATGCAGTTTATATATAAAACTCCAAACATTAAATAAATTTATGAAATTTTTTCGAGTATTATAATAATAGTTATTCCAGTAACAAAGGTTTACTAATGCTTATTGCTTGCTAGTTAGTTGCCTGTAAAATGACACCTCTATAGCACTACTGCATGCAAGATGCATCTGACGCTGACAACTTGAATTGGGAATACAGGATGTTTAGTGACTGTATGGATTCGTACACAAACTTCTTCCACAGAGTAGCGTAATATTCGGTAGGTAAATGAAATACTTGGTCAAGTTTACAATATGTGTCTGTTAGTACGGTAAATATATTGTAATACGTTTACATGTGTGTGAATTATAAATAACTCGTTTCTTCACTCATACATTTGCAAATTATTATTGTTTTAAGAGCATTCTGTGTTATTGATAAAAAAAAATATAGTAAAGGAGACTAAAGGAACAGATGGATTCGTTTGCCTTGTGTACATCCACTGACCAGAATATTAAGATAACCCGCTGAATGAAGAAATAACACAGCTCACCCACTGGTGGCTATGTCGGACACGAACCAACTAAAAACCGCACCGTCTCGTCTCGGGTACCAGTAGCCGGGGAACCAGGTATACCCTAGAAAGGAAATCCCTGGTACACCGACGCACCTCGTGCTGTATACGGCGAGTAGATGACCCTTCTCTTGTGTGAGAATCCCCATGTTCCCTTTGTGCTCCCGGAAGAGTTCTAAACCTCCCCGTTCCCGCTCCGCCATCTCTTTTGCAAGCGTAATTGCTCGCAGAAGGAGACGGCGGAGTTCCACGCACTCTCGCTCCGCACCATAGCCGCAATCATGTTACCTCAGATTATCTACCCTGGCTTTATTATCTCTTAAAATAAATAAATAAAAGCCTCTTGATATTTGTATTAATTTATACAATGAAACAGAGTAGGAATATAAACAGAAATACTCGTAACACTTTCTATACAACTTTTAAAACATGTTATACAAACTCAAGCCTTAATTTCATTAACCTTAAACGACAATGGACGCTAAGGGGCTAAATTAAATGCTCTCTCGTTATGATTTTAATTATTAATTATTCCGTGACTTATTCTTATTATGGCTCTTGTTACTGTCTCAAGGGAAGGTAGTGCTGAGGCGAGGAATTATAACTGTAATGAGAGGCTGGGAGTACTTCTACCTTACCTGTTACGATGATTTAATTGGTGCGATTAAAATCTCGCTTGTTTCCTGCATATAACCTAGGATTTTGGTTATTATTGTCTTGTATTGTTAGTGTATTCTTATTTTTGTTTATAATACTCGTATGCCGTATGATAGTATACTCGTATCATCTGTGGAAGAAGAGATGAAAGGTAATTTTTTTTAGAAAGTTGTAATATAAAGTTAAAATTTACGTAAATGGCTACAGAAAACTAGCAATCCAGTATAATTTTGACCTATCGTCGCTCAAAAGCTTGAAACGGTGGAAAATTTCCCCAACAGCCCATCTTTAGTCGCGTAATTTTTCCAGTATACAGATGCCAATAAAATGTTTAAGATCGTGAGATTATTTTAATACATTTTTATAGCAGGAGGGTAAATGAGTACTGGGTCACCTAATGGAAAGTAAGCCCATACACAGCTACAACTCAAACTCAAAATATCTTTATTTTTATTTTTTTTAATTATTTGATATCGTCTCTTGTGTATACCTACTCTAAAGTCATAAATCATTTCACACAATAACAACAATCTCAGTTTTGTCAAGTATTTAGCAAACTAAATATAAACGTATCGAAAATCTCTAATAGGCCGATCTACAACCGCCCGCCCCCAACTCAGACTCACAAGTTTGTAGCCGTCAACTCAGACTCAAGAGTGTACCCACTAACTCAGACTCGAGAGTGTAGCCACTAACTCAGACTCACAAGTGTGTAGCCGTTAACTTAGACTCACAAGTATGTAGCCGCCCACTCAGACTCACAAGTGTATAGCCGCCAACTAAGGCTCACAAGTGTGTAGCCGTTAACTCAGATACATAAGTGTATAGTCGCCAACTCAGACTCACAAGTGTGTAGCCACCCTTTGAATCGCCCTCAGACTCGTGTAGGCTCCGGTAACCTCACTCACTCAGTGAAAAACAAAGAAAGAATTGGCTAACACTAGTTTTCTGTGAGACCGTGTCATCACTCCCGTCGAGCCATCCCATTTGTGCGGAAGTATACTTCTCCGACGTGTCACATCATCATCATATCACATCAACATCCTTTAATAACCCATTGCTGGACATAGGCCTCTTCTTAGAAGGAGGTTTCCGACCCATGTAATATCGTTATAAACACATTCTCAATAACTATGAAATAAAATCCATCGACACCAATCTTTGATAAACGAAGACGTTATCAGTATTTAATGAAACCCGCACGTTAGCTCTAAAATAAATTAAACGCTAATCCTTACCCCTACGTAATTAATCAAGGTAATACCTATGTAAAGTTGGGATATAAATTAAACGACGGGTACGATATACTACCTATAACTTATTTATAACCTAATACCGGTAACAGAAACGTCGAACGTTTGCTGCAGATTTGGGCCTCATATACCGTCACCGTTTAAAGCTTAAATTTGAAAACATTGTAATAACTTTATAACATGGTTGAAAATTTTCGAGTTCTGTTCCTTTGAATATTAACATAATTCAACTTTTTTCAACAAAAGAAAAGCTTATGTATATAAATTTGACAATGTGCAAATCTTGTTTAGAAATAAACAAATATAAAACAAAAATCGCACAGATGCAATTTATGATTCTATGCAACATATCGTTTAGACGTTTTCGGAAGTTGGTATGGAAAATATAAAAAACGTCTTTTGTCAACGGTTATAGTCTCAAAAAAGCTTGAGGATATGATTTTGAATGTTGCCAGACAATTTATCTAGGTATCATCATAGAATATAATATAGAAAAACGACTTTTCAGTGGTATTATATTTGCGCTGCAGAAACAGCTCGAAGGATTAATGATGTGTACGGCGCTGGTGTCGCTAAAGTAAGCACGGTACGTTTTTGGTTTTAACGTTTTCGTTCTGGAAATTCGACCTTCAGAACCAACCCCGTGGACGGGCGGCGACCAAAGTGGAAAATGAAGAATGAAAGGCTATTGTGGAAGCGGCTCCATCACAAAGCACTTCAGCAATAGCTGCAGGCTTCGGGGTAAGTGATAAAACTGTATTAATCCACTTGAAGCAAATCGGGAAAGTAAAAAAACTTTAACGATGGTTACCTCATGAATTGAGTGATTCGAACTTACAAACACGCGTCGACTGCTGTGTTACTTTGTTCAACCGACACAATAATGAAGGGATTTTAAATCAAATCATTACTTGTAATGAAATATGCATACTGTTCAATAATCGGAAGTGCTCGTCACAATGGCTGAACCCTGGAGACCCACCCAAATCCTAAACGAAAATTGACTCAGAAAAAGTTACTTGTGAGTATTTGGTGGATTAGAGCCGGTGCCGTTCCCTACAGCTTTCTAAAATCTGACCAAACGATTACGGCAGTATCTATTGTCAGCAACTGCAAACCATGAAGGAAGAACTAGCTGCTAAACAACCGAGATTGGTCAATCGCTCTAGGCCACTGCTGCTTCACGACAAAGCAAGACCACACACTGCACAACAAACAACCACTAAGTTAGATGAGCTACAATAGGAATGTCTGCGACATCAACCGTACTCCCAGGACCTTCCTCTAATAGTTAACAATTTTTTTGCCGGAACTTGGACAACTTCTTACAAGGAAAAAATTCAACTCAGATGCGGCAGTCCAAACCGCCTTCAAAGAGTTTATTGATTCTCGCCCCCATGGTTTTTTTAGTAAAGGGATCAATGAACTACTTATGAGATACTTTGATTAATTAAATATATTTTACAAAAAAAATATATTTTATATTCCACCCGTACAAAACGCCAATTTCATATGTAAGGACCTAATAAATTCAAGTTCCAGTTCTGTAAACTTTAGTAATTTAAACTGTGATTATTAAATATCATCCACTACTAAGACATTTTGACCAGAGGACTCAGACTTTGTGAGATTGTCCTGGTCAAACTTACATTGCCATTGACAACATGTAAGCGGTTACTATGCCTTGTTCGGAGAAGTATCTGTTTGTTTGCTATAATTATAAATCTCATATATATAGAATTTTTATGTAAATATAAAACTTAAGTTATTACAGACTACAATCATTATAATATGTACACATAATATCATACTAGAAGTTATCTAGGAAGGGATTGCATCCAATAACATTCCAGTAGATTCACAGCAAACACTTCAAAGGCGGCGCTAGAAAACTTTTGATACCCAATTTCAAATGTACTTTTTCTTGTTAGCGGGCTAGAGCGGTAACTTAAGACCCTAAAAGAAGCGATATAACATTTCTTAAGTGAAGTAACATTGAGTTATTGCTCCAAAATTGTTAATTCACTATACTAAAAATACACAAACAAGCAAGAAAAGGCGCTGTGCCGAATATCGAAGAAACTCTCTGGAGATTAATTAGAGAATATTTGTTTTGTATTGATCGCAAGTAAAATAATAAGAGTAATTGATTTTTGTTTAAATGAGACTAATCCTTTTTTTTTTGTTACCGGGGTGGAAGATCCTTATGGATGTCCTTTAGCCATAGGGATGGCAAAGGGATCTGTCTCTTACCGACTAAAAACCACCCCGGTGTTCCTCTCCTTGCCAATGGACGGGGAGCGAGAATTGCAATTGCATTCTTCCGCCACCACCGACAGGCATTGACCCGTCCCACCCAAGACAGGTCTCGTCACTCGTTGCGACCATCACCCCTCGATCGCAGTCCTCTAGAAGAACACATAGAACACTGTGCACTGCCTCTCGATCTTGCAACTGTTCGGACGAGAAAATCGTCGCCCGAAGGCCTCATTCTAAGGTGGCAGGAGATCGACGAATGCCCTCCGGTGCTGCGTTCTCTCTTCCGTCCTGCCGCTTCCTTTGCGGACATCACATGTTCGCAGAGGAAGCGACGGCGCTCCATTTACTCTCGCTGCGGACCATGGACAAAACCAAGGTCGGCAGCGAGACGCCACCTGCAGAACTGAAAGCCGCGATAAGATCACGACGCGGCCCGGCACTTGTTGTCAGGGCAGTCATCACAATGATGGAACCGTGACGTCGGCTCCCGGCTCCTACACGTCCACTAATATTACTCCTGTGTACTAGGAT